GTCGTTCTGAATTTACATCTGGTCAGCATCTTCATTCACTGTACTATGTGTACTACGACTTCATCCACTACACTGAAAATTTAATGTTAAAAATATTATAGAAGGCTCCGAACCGATGTACAGTACATTAGTATTCACCCTTCCAATACGGCCTAGCCACATCTCAAATTACCGAGTAAGCATACGTATTATGCGACTTAGAAATTCAAAAGAAGAAAGCATCACGCCAAATGTTGAATTTGTTGAGCTTCTATTCATATTTTTGGCGCCAATACATTCAAGATACAGTATTGTACTTTGAATGAAACTATTTCGTTAAATTGACAACATTTCGTACGAGTGCGTTTTTTAATAAATAGCACCATCAATCAAAATTTAACAGAAAACGTGGGACGAAAGACTTGGCGATTAGCCTGAATTCTCGTTTGAGTCCGGCTTCAGTTTTATACATTTCCGTTTTTTTTTGTTGCAATATGCTTGCTTGAAACCCGGTCAAAAACGTTCAGGCTTCCCTGACTTACGTACTGTACGCTGGTAAAGCTTAAAATTTTCTTGACGAATATTTAAAAGTCCGGAAATCCCTCGCTTCGAGGTTGGGGCCTATTATTGGGACTGCAATGGACTTCCGAAAGAACTTCGGGCAGAAAAGAGGTGACAACTTCTTCGAAACCATATGCGAAGAATAAAACGATCACATACTTCGAATGAAAACTATAGCGTCGGACGCACCGGAGACTCGTTAGGGGGTTAGTGGTTTAAATACCCACGTAAATTCGACATCACTTGGAAGCATGTTCATCTGACGAGAGACAAACGCTTCACTCACAGAGCGTGCGCAGGAAACCGGTTTGAAAATTGGCGAGGGATTAATATATCTGTTGGAGCTTCGCACTTCCCGAGCCCAACGCGACTCGGCACCGATGTTGACTCAACGGAGGTCGAACGTTTTCTCTTTCTAAGCGACGTTCGGCCGCACGAATGTCCGTGCGAAAGCGCGTGGGACTCCAGCGATTCCTTGGCGCGCGCGCACTTCGGCGAGGCAACAGCATCCGAATGGGATTCGGTGTTGGTTTATGGATTTAGAAACTACATGGCGTACGACGGGGCTTTTTTAAATGGTCCCCATGGAAGTGTACCACTGCATGGTGGTAAGAAGGCCCCTTCCTGGTACAGTAGAACGCACGCGGAAAGTGTCCCCGCGTGGTATGCGAGATTTTTCCTGCTTTGTAGGTAGGTAGGCCTTTCAAGGACTGGCGCATTGGTACAAAAAATGGATGGAAAAATCAGAAACGTTTGGTAAATTTACATTGACAGAAGACTCTGAAACCACAGCGAGCAGAGACCAGAGTATAAAATAACGTTGGACCTTGCTAACTCAAACCTCCCCATACAGTACTTTCAATTTTTGCTTGATCCCTGTCTGAACTCCAGTGATGAAATTTTAAAAATGCCTCATTAATCGGACACTTTAACCCCACAAACCTCTATTACTCACACTTCTGGAGGCCTTCTTTCTATTATTCTGAGTAACCAGGAAGGAGAGAAACACAAAAAATGTAATTTGGTTATTTTCAAAAGGAAGTACAGTACATGATTAGTTCCGAAAGTTTACCCTTGCCTCCAAGTTTGGCATCTTGTTAATTCATTCAACCAGCAGTTTAAGACCCATATGAGATCACCAATATTAATTGAAGAGAGTTTAACTTGAAGAAGTTCGACTGCACAAGTTTTGTAGAAGCACATTACAGAGCAATTCATCCTTTTTATTGAATGCCGCACAGAATTACCATAGTGAAGCAAGAGTAGGCCCAGCACAGGAGATCCCGTAAAATGTTGTTAAAACGAAGCCATTGGTTCCTAGAGGCCTTCTTTCGTTATAAAAATAAACTTTATATTAACGGCTTCAAAATAACATTGTGGATTTCCTGGAGGAAACAAGAACTGGCTTTGCTCTCAATAATAGGTAATTCATTGCAACAAGAGTTTCTATATACCTTCAACAGGATTTTAATGTCTTAACCATGAGGTACTGCACATCCTTCAAATTTTATGTCAGCAATGCTTAATCATCTTCCAATCGGTGTAACCTCTTGATATCAGTGGGAACCAGCTAGTTAGAAAAGATACAAGCAGCTACTGCGCTTGGTTTTTTTTTCTTCTAGATAAGTTCATCAGGATGTACGGGATTTTGTTTCTCGTGGTTTAAGCTATTATCCCTAATCCAGTAATAGATCAGTCCACACTCAGAAAGTTTTTAATCCTAGGGTACTATAATATTTAGACTATCTGTGATACTGTATTTGTTCATCAAGAATTCAAGATGAAGACACAGATCCTTATCCCAGATAATCTAGATTCCTCTGTAATACATTGAAAAGGCAGAAAGAAATGCTTTCGCCCGGTAAATTGCCGCCTTATAGGTGTGACATTTGTGGTAATAAAGGGGAAAGGATCATGTTTTTAGTTGTCCTTATTCGTTAAAGTGCCAAAAGTGTGTAATACCTGATCACAAGCACCTAGAAAAAAATGTCTTGGCTAATGAAGGCGTGTACGCGGTAATAAAGAAACCATTGCCATATCACAGGTCAAGAACTTTGGGAAATACAGTACATGTACGCCTTTTCTATAAGAAATATGGTGAAACCATAGCATATAGACGAAGAAAAAAGATGAAGGAAATAATTGTAATGCTTTCAATCGCGGGGACTTGCGCGATGAACTGCATTTCTCAACGAGACCAGAAAGTACTGATTTTCTATGCCGACTCAGTTGCTCAATATTAGAAAATTTTAAGCCTGATAAAACTGAATTTCGTCGCAAAACATACACCCGAGTGAATACACATGTCACGCGCTTTACAGTATTTGTTCAAGAGGTGCTCAATGAGTTCGAAGAGAATCGTTAGAAATTCCTTGCACAACTCCACTCTAGAGTGCTATAATTTCTCTTTTTTTTTTTACCAATCACCGCAAGTTTTCAACGTAAATGTTTTTAATACTGCATCAAATTTTCCATGGAATAGGACCATGTGTGAGAGGAAATTGACGATTTTTGAGCAGCGTGCATTTTTAATTGAGATCGGTTACATCCACAGTTGGAGCCAGAATTTACTTGTTGGTCCCTTTCATCAGTTGAATGAAAATATGCTCGTGTTTATTCCTAACGTTGAAAAGAACGGCCGTTTCCAGAAACGGAAACCAAAGATAATGTTGGGTAACATCCACGCACTGTATCCTTCAATAAATCGGGAGTACGGTACTGAATTGGTGTTTCCAAAGATCTCCACACTGTAAGCCGCTGGTTTATTATGTTTCTTGGCCTCTCGAAATGACTTCAGTACACGGAAGCATGCACAGTACTGCGTAACTACGTGTAAGATTCTGCCGATTACTGCCTTAGTGGAAAATTTTCTTGATGACTTTGGGAGCCAAATGTGAAGGTGCTTCTCCAGTACGAGGAAGGAGTAGAAATAATCGAGTTGAGCGTGATCTCAGCAAAACATATTTACTCACATGAGCAAAACTCAAAGACACATACATATATCATCTTCCAATATAATTTCCCGTCCGGTTCTCCTTCCAAATAAATTTATATCATGAAGGAAATCGCGAGGAACATTCTCAAACGATCAGGGGAACACTAGTAAAAAAATTCCCCCGACATAAGCGTAGTCACAGGGACATAAAAACAAAGCAATTTTCTTGAGAATCAAGTCGAAAAACTGTCGAAGGCTTATCGGTGATACTTGACAGCAAACTTCAGGCGTTTAAAAATAAACAAAAAATAAATAAAAAAGGCGAGACCAAAATCAAATCAGCGTGAAAGTCGGCAAACATTCAGAAGCGCTCGCTAAGGCCAAGTCACAGGGGTTGTCCATTCCATCATGAGGCAAAAGAACACTGCAGAGTCAACCCAATGCTTCAAACTGCAAACTTCATCGATTCCTCTGCGTGAATCACGCAAGAAAGAATAATTTCAACTGACGAAATATCACAAAGTTCACAATCTCTAACCGCTCCTCTTGAGATTTTTCCATCCGCATCCACTTTTGACTAAACAATCTTCCGCATCCTTAGATTATTTCTCAAACAAAATCCAGGAACAACAACACCAGAAGAATATCTTGATCAGTTGGATAACCACGCAGGCACGAATCAGCAAGAAGAACCTCATAATAGCACCAACCAGTCTGGCGTAGTTGAAACGATAGAACCTTCCAATTTGCCTATTCCCGCAGTCTACGTTCGCAAATTTCGTAACTCCTTCGAGTAGATACACGGCAATATACAAATTTTCCGAAGCTGCATTTATCTTCGACCTCATCACCAACAGAGGTATGATACACAGGGAGTTTACTGGAATCTCCCTCAAAGCCTTGAAGGAACCGTGATCGTAATGGGCAAAGAAAAAAAAACATAAGAAAGAATAGAAACGCGACGTTGGATAGAAAATCAAGATAACCTGAAAAGCTTTTTGTACTCACATATTTTCGAAAGGCTAAAAAACTCCCAGGGATTTTTTTTTTTCAAAAGCGACAAAAAGTGCGATGTCTCTAGACAAGACGAAAACCTAGAACATCAAGAAGGAATTTCCGGAGCTCCGAAAAAAGTTTGTGAACTCAGACTGGTCATCACAGGTACCATCTTTCTGCATCGATTTCGAGCGAACAATCAACGCAAAGCTTAACGTCGTTGGCTCGCTTTATAAAGGGGAGTTACTAAGGCTTGAAAAACATTTTTTCGAGACCAATTCAAACCTTGTCCACGATTTCCCCCACCCCCACCAAAAAATGCTGTCCCCTTCGACTTCGCGTTCTCGGAGGAAACAGCATGCTCGTGCGTCTTTTTTATTTTTTGGCAAAAAGAAACAGGGAATTTTCACCAGACCCCCTCCTTGAAGCACAGTGATTCCCATACCCCATTGACAAACAGCACCTTTCGTTGCATGACGCTGGGTTGAACGATCAACAGAGGAAGCGAATCAAATGCACGTCTAACTGCCTACATGGCGAATTTGGAGTTCATCGGTGGTGATGATTGCGCCGAATCCAGAGGGATCGCCACAAATTTCTTCGAGAGATTGAGCGGCGCTAGGGCTTCCGGCGCCTCCTGAGCCATGAATTGCATAGATGGCGCCTCCTCGCGAGGTGAACAACGGGTGCTCAACTCCAGTGGAGCAGCAGCAGCCTTCCAGCACGTCGGAAGCCGCGAAGCTCCGACGGAATCGGACGCCGAGTCCGGGCTCGGGGACTGCGGTTGAGAACTCATGTTGGTGCTCATCACGCGTGGATGCACATGGATCGGTGGCTGAATTGGACTCGGTGGGTGGTACCAGTTGCCAGACGAGGCGGACCCGTTTGGCACAGGCGTAGAAAGGCAGGATGCCAAAGTGGACCCGCCTCTCGTCGCAGCACCGGGCCTGCACCCGGATGAAGGATGCCGTACTTTTCGAGAGATGCAACGGCTGCCGCTGGAATCAGCAGCTGCTTCGTGGAGATCTGCTTTTGAAGTAGACGGGTCAGAGACATACGATGAACGATATGACTGCGGAATGTCTCCTCGCATGATGAGAGAGGTAAGCATGTCAGTCTGCTTCATTTGCTCGGCAGTCATCTTCGGCGCTTCCATCAATGACCGTGCCAGCGTGCTCTGTAATCGCTGCTGATGACCAGAAGTGGAGTGCTGATCATCGTGTTCCGGAGTCAGGGCATTGCGCAACAACTCCATCTTTTCCGAGCTCGGGCCAGGGCTGCCGGAGGAAGTTGATGACGTGGCGTCTCCTTCCTGCTCTCGACGCATGGCGCGGAATTTCTTGTGCGGTCGATATGCTTCGTCCATCAGCAAGTTCGTGTTGATGAGTGGCGGCGCTTGCAAAGCTCTTTTCAGCACTGGCATGTCTTCGGGAGACGATTCCACGCCGCCAGACAAGTCTTCCGGCGAAAGTCCTCCGCCACATTGTGGACTGCCGCAAGCAGACGCGGGTCGAGACGGACTGAGTTTGCCGCCAATCCTCACGGCTTCGCAGCCCGATTCGATACCGGAGTCGGTCGGGGAATCGAGTTTGCGCGGAGCATACAGCAGAGATTCGGTGTGATTCATTGTGGATGAAGGCACCGGTGCTTCGCTATTTAAGCACATGCCGAGAGCTGCAGTCATGCCGTGATACTGCGGCAGGACACGCGTTTCGTGGTGCTGAGGGTGGTGTGGATGAGAGAGGTGGCTCGTATCTGATGTTCGTGGACAAGATAACCGGCTGCCTGCGGAGGAAGTGGTGAGGACTGAATGGCAGTCTCCGGAATACGCCGATTCGTTGCTGCAAAGGGAACCGACAGGTGATTTCACACCTTCCTCGCTGATGAGCGAGTGCGGTGATCGCGGGGAAGCGCACCCCGACGAACCGGAACAGTGGCCGGAACTCGTGCTGCTGTTGCAACTCAGGCCTTGGTGCTCGTACTGATCCCAGACTTTGCCTCGCATCGGTGGCTCCGTCAAGTCAGTGCCCTCGTGGGGACATCCTCCCCTGGAATAAGAATCGGCGATGCCTGCCTTTGTGTCGACACTCGCCTCGGCTTCAGCATCTCCTTGCGCATTCTGCTGTTGTTGCTCCGTCATTTTGAACGCCAGCAGCTTTTCGGAATGCAACGCATTGAGGGTGCGAAGGTCAGGAATTTTCTTCACCAGGTCGTCGTACATCTGCTGGGCTTGTTCTTCGGAGATGAACTCAGCTTTGCTCTCTTCATTACCGTTCATGGCAAACTTGAGCACGTGTTGTCTTTGTCTTATGACGTGTTTCAGCAAAGACGTCATCTTGCCACAGATACGGTCAACCAGCTCGGGGTTTCGCAAACCCGGGCGATCTGGAAGTATTTCGACAACGTCAGAAAAAAATAGCAACACGCATGGCTGATCGAAGAAAAAAATAAAAAGATCGAGATAAATTCGATCAATGACGAAACAAGCGTAAGACTCACCAGGGGAAAGGACGACGATTGCAGAAAATAAAGCCAACTCAGCATCGGACAGCTGCAGCGCGTTAAGACGATCAGCAAAGTCGAACATAGAATCCATGAGAAATCGAGCGTTTCCAAACATTTCCCCATTGGGCCCGAGGCCACCGAAGCTCTCTCGTTTCACTACCATTCCATTCAAGCTGACCATGGTGTTCGTCTAAATTAAAATACGGATGAGTGTTTTAAAATTAGCATAAAAATAAACTTAAGAATGAAACATCATCATAATTAATCAATTTAACTACGTGGTCTGCAACGTACCTGTGAATCAAATAAGCCAGCGAGCCGCAGGAGCAGTACTTCGAACACACCCGCCTTCAGCAGAGTAACTTGGTCCTCCTGTACCAGCATGGAGAACCCGGGGAGTCTCTTGGCGAACTCCACCACACCTCGAATGGCCGGAGAGAACCTCTGCGAGAAATCTTGCAGGCACGCGTACGGGTTCTCCGCATAGCCAACCGGGTTCAGCGGACAAGCCTATTCGCACAACGGGAAATTACAAACTGCTGTTACTTTCTTCACCGACCCGAGGAATTTTCCCTCAACGAATTTCATGCATCTTGAGTCTGTATCATTCGCCCCTTTTTCATGCGCTAAAAATGCTGAAGAACCTACCACGTTTGGGGCAGTTTTGCTTCTCGATTCTTCACCGACCCGAGGAATTTTCCCTCAACGAGTTTCATGCATCTTGAGTCTGTATCATTCGTCCCTTTTTCATGCGCTAAAAATGCTGAAGAACCTACCACGTTTGGGGCAGTTTTGCTTCTCGGAATTTTTCTTCTTTTTTTGTGTGTGTGATAAACTGAGCAGTTTTCATAACGCGAAGAAAAAATGGGGGAGCTTACTAATGGCGTGAAAATGCTGAGGGGGATATGAGGAGATGAACAATTCAAGCAGCTCAGTGCTTTTCAAAGAGCAAAATCATGTCGGGGACAATTTTCTTCAGTGGCTCGGGCAAATGCTTATACAATATTGCAATTTCGTTGGGGGTCGTAGCTAGATGGAAACAGTCACGTACCATTTGCCCGTTCGGGGCGCTGGTGTTGGGATGCAAGTGCGCCTGTTCGTGGGCGCGCATGAGGAATGTCGGGAGACGGTCCTGAGTGAATGGACACGTGTCCCTGTGTGCACCAGTGACAGTAGACATCAATGAGCTGTCGTCCGCAGCCAATGCTGCATCTATCGCCTTTTCCTGCGACTTCCAAGCGACGCTTTGCATAGCAGCGAGTATTTTCGCCTTTTCCCTCTTCGGGACGCGTCCGAATCGGACAGCTGGAGGAGATAGGACCAAAGAGAACCCTTTTTCACAAATGAACTTCTACCATCAACGTTTTCGCAGAAGAAAGGGAATATATCAGGGCAGTCTGTCTTTCTTCTTCTTATGTCCGCTTATGGGCGAGAAAACAGACGAGCGAATGTCTACACACAAAATTACCCCCATTATTTCAATATTCACAACATGTGGAACACGAAGTTTCATTGTCTCCAGACAGACAGACATTCGCAGAATCAAATATGAATTCTTTAGACTGAAACTAATTTTTGATGCAAAGAAGCTTCGACGCAGAACATTAATTTCATCTCATTGGAATGTATCCTTGGATTATAAAGAATCGTTGTACGGAGAATATTGCTTGAATATTGAATATTTCAACATTACATTTTTGTCACTTTCTTGACGGATCGCGCCGAAATTATAAGTAATATTTATTCGATTCCAAACATATTCATGTTTTACCTGCATATAAGCGGCATTTCCACAAGTCAAACGTAGCATCAGGAAATACTGCATATCAATAGTGGCGTGGTCTGAATGAGTCAGTTACCTGAGCTACGTCAGACTATAGGCCAGTCTACACCACACATACATGTGGAAAAATCTAGATATCTGGCGCCTCATTGCGACGCATTATGTGCCAGGAAACGCGGAGAACGAAAAATAGGGCAGCATCGTAGAACAATGTCGCGGTCAACGACCTGTAATAGTAAGGGGAGGAAAAATTCTAGCGAATCCCGCATATCTTTTAAATTAATGTCCGGCGTCCCTTCCTACAATGTCAAGCCCTCTTTTATAGGAAAAGAAACGCGGTGCTTGTGATTCTGAACATAGTGTATAACGAATTGATTTCACTCACCGTCTCGACTCATGCCGACAGCTATGCATTTCTTGAGGCGACAGTACTGGCACCGATTTCGGTTTATCCTCAAAATCGAACACTGCTGGTTCTTGGTGCAAGGTCGGTATTGAATTTTCTGCTGGATGCTCCGCCGGAAGAAGCCCTGAAAAAATAAGATAGAAGGCCAAGACGTGAGGTCAACGCCCTCGGGTCTGGTATTATACTCTACATAGCAAGCTCGCAATTCAGGTCACCGCCCGACTTCCATGGAACTCATTCCCTTCGGAGGTCGGCGCTCCTTTTCATCTAGAATAAATACCCCGTCACGCTTTATCGGAGAGAAGCTCCGACGGAAACAGAAGACAGAGAGAAAAATCTTCTGGCCTCTTCCTTCTTGCCAGACAAAGCCCAATTTTTTTTCTTTTTACGTGTACTGTACATATACTTGTGGAGCATGTTCTCTCAGTGGTAAAAATCTTCCGAATGGAACATTGTTATGTAATCACGGTATGGAATTCTGTGAAGGTAGAATTCAGGATCTTTATAAAAAAATTCTAAATTAATTTTACTATCATACATTTTTTTCGAAGTCCTTGACTTCATAGATACAATATCGAAAAAATCCTGTTTCGATAAACTTGTGACAATCAGAAAAAATCAGACTTTCAGTATTATGAACGCACATACTCCGAACAGCAGGCAATTCCATGTGAGGTACACGTCCATTTTTCCTAGGAATTTAGAAAAAGCACCATATCTTGAAAACTCGTTCCGAGCACGGTAAAATATACGAACTTCTCTTCGAAAACTAAATCTATTACAACAATAGAGTAATTTTTATTCTTACGGACAATTTCGATTCCACAGAATTTTATTACAGTACTGTACTGTACAGTATATGTATTTCCATTGAAGTCTCCATAGCTTTTTAAAAACAGAATTTTACCAGTATAATTAAATGTGTGTCATTGACAAAAGGTCTCCGATGTTCCAAACGGTTCAAGACCTTCCTGGATTGCTTAGAACGCCGCTGTCCTACAATGTAATGATGGGTCCAGTGTGGGTAAATGTCAGTTGCCGTCATTACGGAGGTATAATTTTGAATCATATCAATGAGAAATTGCATGTGCTTTTGGGTCCTTCCAGTGCTTGTATAGGACAGGGTGAATGATGTACTGTACGGGAGTAGCCCTGGCATCAGAGCTGCAATTTGACGCTATTCATTTAGAAATACAATACTGTAGATTTAACTTGATGAAATTAAAATGAATCACAACCTCCTAAAAGCAAGTGGCAGCACATCGCGTGTCATACAGTGCCTTTCTCAGCGAACTCACACGGGTTCGCTTCAAGCAAAAAAAAAAGTGATACAGAACGTGGATTTATCGCGAGGAGATATTGAATACGGTAGCCGATTCACGCGATGTAAGGAAATGTTGATACTGTATATAGTCTGGAATTCAAGTGTACCTCTCGTTCTTCGAGGGATGCATCCCTACACACTGAATGATGCTCCTCGGATGGTTTAGGGTTCGAATCGCCAGGGCAGTCGCAAGATTGATCTACATCCGACGCGTCCACGGCTACTCGGATTTCCTTTTCAATGAATGAAACTGCGCACGGCTTTTTAGTCACGAGGGCCTCGTCAAATCGACGGTCTGTCACGGGGAATTCGCGCGAACCACCCGAAGATTTGCCGGCATTTCCTCCGACGTCACGTCGGCAATTGCACTCGTCAGCGACGAACGACGCCCCGTCATCATGCTCATCGTCAGGGTCGTCGACAAACGGCAGTTGGATATTCTCGGTGGACGTGTGAAATGACCAATCCAAGTTCGGACCAAGGTTGAATATGCCATCCGGGCTCTTGGAATCAGTCGACACGCACTCAGTCCACCCAACATCCTCCTTCCCTTGAGTTACGATCATTTTACGGAGCCTGTCGCACAACAGCGAAGGTTCTTCTTCTGATCCAGTATCCACGGTTTCTGCACACGAGGAGATTTTCCTCCAGCGTTTTCCGAAAACTTCACTCAGAACGTATTTTCTTTCGACACTTCGAGCAGGATTTTTCTTTTCGCAAATAACCTTTCATTGGAAAACATGCATAGGTCCACGTGAAACCAATGATTCTCTCAACTGGTACCCATGCGCGCAAGAAGTCGCAATCTATACAATTCAATTCGTGCTTCCGAAATCGGAGAAACGCGGTTCTTGATTTTTTATGTACTTTATACAGTAGCTGAGTACAGTACTGTCAAAAGCTCAAAGTTTCAGGTCCGCAATCCTCCAGTATTCCACCTTGCTTTTCTAGAGCACGTTCTAGTTGCTTTTGAAGTAGGTCGGGGATACGCGAGGTCCTTCGTCAACTATGGAGATCATTCCACTTCACTGAACTTCACAAAATCACAAGTAAACGTCGTCATGAACCAAACAGAAACCGTATTCACTCAAATATAAGACGTCATAAATACCAAGACGCCCACTTAGGCTTCCCGGAATGGAATACAATATCATTGTCTAATCAATTTAAGTTGCAAAAGACGAGTCTATTGATACCTCATCTGGAGCCATATTTAGTCCATCATGTAATATAGAGTACTCTTGGAATGTTTCAAATGCGAATTAAGTATTGTAAAACTCGAAGGAATAACGGAATAATATCTTCGAGGCTCCAGCATTTCCCCATTTCATTCATAATGGAATTGCTGTCGCGCGGCACCCACTGATGAAGTATTTTAAAATCATGAGGTGACCAAAGATTCCAGATAAGGATTTGTTTACTTAATTTTCAGAATTTGAGACGCAATTTTCATTCGAAGGTTTGCGGCCTGAAGTCATCATTTCACATGTTGAAAAATATATCCAAACGAAGTGTGGTAAGAGGCACAGAAAAGCGTTCCATGTAAGAGTAATCTCCCCCTTCAAGATTTACATCCGAATGCTCGCTCCGTGAAAGTCGGAAAATGCATTTGAGGGTTTCCTTCCATTCAAAAGTTCGATATGGGAAGTTAAGAAAGCACTAACAAATAAATCTAAGCCAAACATAAGAGGCACAGAGTCAACTTCGGCTGCACAAAGGCGTCTTATATGAGAGTGAACACTGTAAGTTAATTCAGGCTAGAATAGGGTTCAAATCCGATTGCGCGCTCTCAACAGAAGGTTCCACAAATGAACAATCACCAGGGATAAAGGGGGGAGGGTGGGTTTTACAATACAGTACAGTATACTGTATTGTACATCTTTGGCCAAAGGGCGAAGCACACGTCAGCGTCTCAGAGGATCACGACACGGAATAGTCGGAGCGATTCCCGGTGCTGAGGAGCACAAGGAGCGCGTAGGAACTGAACCAGGACGCGGAATAATGGAGGAAGAGGAGACACGGCGCGCGGACAGCCGCAGAAAAAAGGGCCGGGGAGTCAATGAACTGCGGAAATCCCTCGGAAAATAACTGTACCACTCGGGCTGGCTCGAGACGAACGGTTTGGCCAGAATGGGGCCAAACACGGAGTTCCGACGTTATTTGCCGCGCAAATCGTCCCTGTGTGTCCACTTTCAATCCTGTCACGGTACGCGATCTCGAATTACACGGAAATACCGTACTGTAGGCCGCGGGAGAGTATAGGCCGCTACTTGTTTCGGAGTAGTCATTTCTGTAGGGGGGGGGGGAATGAACTCCAAGCTCTGTCCCAAAACAAATGTGCAATGCAGCCAGAAATTGAAAAAAAATGCATCTCATCTACGAATCTATCACCAAAAGATCCTCAAAACTTCAACATTTGTCTTTGTTCGGAAAAAACTGCTCCATCCAAGTCAGCAAAAAATGATCAAAAATACAGCCAACAATAAACACGGGCATTTTTACACAATGAAGACTAGCCTGATCCGGATGATTTTTGGGACATAAAAAAAATTAAGATCCTGCGCGGGAAATCAGAATTGCTGTTCTAGACATTGCAATACAGTATGCAATGTACACCAAGAATACCTGGAGTATATGCCACATATAGCAGTGGACTGTATTCGACAGAGGTAATTTTCTGGGGTTCTGGGGGGGGGGGGGCGGGAGTGCGGCCGAAAACTAGTCACAGACATACAAGTCGTGCGTCGTTCGCTAGGCGACTGATCAGTGGATTCAGTTAGAGCCCGGGATGACGGAGTCGTTGGGAGAGGGGCGATGCCCTGGGTGCACCGGCTGTGTGACGCACGAACCGCGGAAACTACGCAGCAAGCACCATCGACAGCGACTCGATTCGCCGGTTTTCCCCCTCCACCTGTTTCGCTGTGTCAACAACCCCTTTTATTTATTTTTTTGCAGGCCAAAGAGCTCCAATTTTCCCCACGCGTCCCTCAACCCCATTCATTGAAGGAATTCAGCACGCCGCGGGTCATTCACCCGCACCCGCCTGGATTTCGCTTCTGTGGTGAAACGAACAACGCCCCATCCACTCCAGAAACGACCGCCCAGAGCATGAGTGAGAGACGAAACCCTGGCCCACAAAACGTGGTGGAACGTGACACCGGATTGCGGAACAGTGAGTGAACAGTATGAACACCCAGAGCCGCGTCCGAAATAAAAAAAAAGCCCTCAGTTTGAAAGTTACTTACAGAAAATCACCCAGATGAAAAACAAACATGACCGGTTCACTGATCAAATCCACGTCCTTTCCGAATTTTTTGCGTACTATTACCCGAAACTGCTTAATTTAGGCTGTAATAGATTTTCAAAAAATTTCGCACACGAGGGATTTTTCTTCGAACGCATTAAATATTTTCGCTTAGTGTCCTAAGTTCCGCCGCCGCATAGGGCACTCGATTGTTGTCAATAATCAATCTTTTTCATAATGGCTGCTATAGGCGTAAAATGAAAACCGCTGCGTTCATAGATCGAGTGGAAACCAATTGAGGGAGATATTTATGGGCTTGATTTAGTCACAAGTGAATCATTTGGTTAATACATACGCAGTTCGGTAGTAGAAATTCAAAGTTACCCAGAATCCAAATAACCATTCTCATTATTTTCAGTGGGCAAGTGAGAGCCTGTAACATTCAACCCCATTAGTATGACTCGAGTCTCTACATTTCCCTCTGAAGCCCCGATTGCTGGTCTAATACGGATATGAAGAAGTTAATTATGCTGGCCATTCTATAATTCGTCTGATATTAATAACATTTCATAGTTTCGAATTATTCTTCGATTCTTCTGATCATCTGGGCAGGGAAACTCAGTCCTCAACTCTTATAATGGGATTTATATTTTTGACTCAAGTTGATCAAAAATGTGTGAAGAAAGTTCAAGCCTGAAGACAGGGAAGGTTCTTGGGTGAACCCTCGCAACGTGGTTCACTTGGGAGGTGGTACAGTACTTGAACACTTTTATTTAAAAAAGTATATTCCCTCCCGAAGTTTAATAAATGCTGACTATCACAACTTCACAAGAACCACCCATTATTTACAAAAGATACAGTTGATTTTAAGATGTTCGAATTCTGCTTTTGATCAAGGCATGATTCATCTTTTCTCGTGATTATTTTTCTCTACATGGATTGAGAATTGGTTTTCAGGGCCACCCTCTGTAACAACATTTTTCTAGACCTTACTAGAGTAAGAAACTTTATACTTCTGTATTCCATTGACTCTCCTCTGAGACCCAGACCTTATTAGAGAATGGCATCTATTGGATACAAGGAATTTATAAGAGCATATACAGTAAAATAATTCACAGCAACCAAAAAAGGTTCGAAAGCCTTGGCGGATTATCTGAGTTTTTCCTCCACCCGCGTTTCCCGTGCCAACCTCACGACACAGAGGGCAATACACTACACGCCTCAGGATCACTTCGGATAGACTGACTGCCCAACTTCGCACCACGACCAAGTAACCAGGGCGCTGCTGAGTAGACCCCGGCGTTCTACTCCCACTCCCGCGCCTCGACTACTGAGAACACAATCTTAGGGACATGATGCCTGACCCACATTCCGGCTGTTGAACTCTGAGGGAGCTCAGCCGACGTAACGCAGAGAACAACAAACCGAAGGGGGGGGGGGAGTGATAAGCGGACAGGCGCAGGGAGCAATAGACTCTCACCACTGCATGACATGTGCGTAAGAGAGAAAACGCCGACTCCTTTTCCGAAGCATAAATGAGTGCGCAGTACTTGGGTGAGTCTACGTTGGGTGGAAACAAAGAGGTTTTAAGCTTCAAAACCGCCGAAAAGCGGGATGATTTCACCCACGACCTAGCCGACACACATCGCTTCTCAGGCAATGAAAATCGGACGAAAAAGTTCGCGTTAAAATGAGTGGCCGACCCGTTGTTCGGAAGCTTTCTTATCCAGAATTGAACAGGAAGCCTCGACGAAATTCGGAATACATTGATGATTCATCAGACGCTGCTAACGAATTACCAACTCTTCTCCGTCGCACGTCGATGCATGACCTGACCAGTGGAGAATACGTATCTCACATATACTCGACCAAGGATCGCACGGTTTATCTTCAAAAATGCACCCAAATGCGCAGGTGAGGCCGATCCATGAGATATTGGAGCACAGGCCGCACCACAATCTCACATGAATGAGATATACGTGACCATCAGCACCATAAAAAGCAATAATATCTGAGTAATTGGAAGTAACCGGCTCTGATTTTATATGCTGAAATATTTCCCGAAGAAATACTTGAACGTTTGCCATCCGTTTAGTTTTACAAACTCCGGCAGTTGTTCAAAATCATGGTGCGGCCTATATTAATGTAAACACGATTACGACTCGATCATTGCTCGAACAAAATAACCAGCGTTCAAAAAGCTCAAACCTACCCCATCGTATGATTGACGAAGTAAAGCTGTACAATAATCAATCATAATCACTGATTTTACAATAATTTTTGTTCGGACTTCGTTTTCGAAAATAAATACGGTACAATTTACCCGCCGAAGTTATCTAATTCTTGGCATATCCCGGTGCACCAATGGATATTCGTTGGGCTTTAGATTCAAGTACCTTCTGTACAATACTATAATCGCGTACCTTGCTCGACAATTTTCGTTTTACCCTCCTACTTTCCATTATTCTGGGCCCTGAGGGGAATTAATTTCCGCTATAATTCACGTGAACGAAATTAGCGATTTTAACTTTTTTCGCTGATTGTATCACAATGTACTGTACAATGAAAATTACTGTGAATAGGCTGCTTATTAAAACTTATCAGCATTGTACCTGCGTAATAATACCCCCCCCCCCCCGACCGTGGAATTTTTATTTCAAAATTTTAGGATTTTTTATACTGTACCCGGATTGCCTAAACACAGTATATTGCAACCTACGTATTTGAAATGCTTTCATCACTACCCGAGCAGTTCATGAACATGTTGTAACCCGCAATGCGAAGTCATGATGAGTGTCATTATCATCCTGCACATTCGGTATTGATTCGTTTGATACTGCGAATACTATGAAATTCCGCCTGTTTCACTTAGCACTGAAATGTGGAAGGTATTGTAATTTTTTCAAAACAGCAATCGCGGTCTTAATGAACATGCGTCTCCTCCAAGACCCATTCTTTCCTCGCCGCGTAGGGAGGAAAACTAAGAACGCGTTCCGCGCAGCTTTTTTGTTATTGTACAGAGGACGCTCAACGTTCCGCGGGCAAACGCTTATTCCCTTTTCTAATCAAAACTTGAATAACTGAAAAATACTTCAAGAAATTAGGAAACCGGACTCTTGTAATAACTATTTTCTGCATTTTAAATCGAACCAGATTTTTTTTAAACATGAGATACTATATTTCAATAATCTGGAACGATCAATTCAGGACAAAATTTCAGTGGCACCAATTGGGGGATATGCGCATATAACATCTGGGATTCCAGAGTATTCAAGTTTTGACAACCGGGTGTCGAAATTTTGCGTCCGTCGAATCAGCAGTGATTGGAGAAAAAATCCACCGGCAGTGGCTAGCCGATCAATATGGCAAGAAACCTCAATTATTGTCTCATCAAAAATCAGCAAAAAATTCGCAGCTAGTAAATACGTACGAACGATTTTCAGGCATTTTCATAAGATATTCAGCGGGAAAACGTCCGAGTAAATTATACTCGTCGAAGATTTTAAAAATTGTATTTGCATCGTGGTTCACAGTTTTTCAAATCCTCATCCGTTGCACTTGAACATGAACCACAATGACACGCGTACAGAGCAAGATAACGGAGTCAAGAAAGTCATTCCAAGTGATTCAGATACCGACCTTGCATCCTTCGCAGGAATGTACTCCGTAGTGGAAACCAGACGCCTTGTCTCCACACACACGACACAGTACCGTGGTCCCATCGAATTCTGCAAAAATAAATAATAAAATTGAAGTTTTAAAATCGCTGACAACGAACAAATATGGCGCAATGTGTCGGCGTGTTCCAGGGAAGGTCATTTCATCAATATGAAATATTTTGCGAACGGAAACAACGCTGAAATCAAAATGACGCCAATAAAACTCCGCAACGGTCCGTCGCAAGTGATCCAGTGATTATTAAGTATGCCACATTAACAAGAAATGCCCTGAGGAAAATTATTCCTTGACGATTTCATTTTCGTTCCACGGAAGTGAAGTATTGTACAGTACAGTACATAGCGACGACTGAAAATCGACACCGAAGTGGAATTTTTAGTTAGATAAGACTAGACTTTCGAAGCCTCGCAGAATGAATCAAGGATCTGGCATCAATAGATATCACCGAGCCAGGAAATCGAAGGGAAACCATTGGTAGAAGGTGAATCAGATAACTCCACAAGGTCGATGCCTTCTGAGTGCCTCGCGCAGGGTTCATTATACAAGCAATACTCAGATTCGCGTTTCCTGAAGCAATCTCCAAACGGTTTGCGGGAAAAAATTACGAATTCGCGGGACGAAAACGAAGACGCCAAGATGCGTACCAATTTTCAGGTCCACCTCCTTCTCCTGAAACGTAGTCGTAGGCTGAGGCATATTCTGGATCGCACGCAGGTCTTTGGCAGTGATGATCATTCTAACGTCGATCGTCAGCCACTGCCACCAGATTCACTCGACACCACAGCCGCGAGCCCGACTCACTGAGCCGCGGGCTGGGAGGATAACAACTACTATTTCACGCGTGGGCCGAAGCCAGGATTGTTTGCGGACTTGGTCCTCACGTCGACGACTAATCCGTCAAGTCCGACAGGGGATCACGAATGAGTGTGAGTGAGTGTCGAGAACCCGATGACACGCGTGACACTTCGCTTTCCGAGCGTCGAGTCCCTCAAAATAAGCTCAATTACAACGATTCACTGTAAGCACTTTCGCCCAGCCGGGGCTACACAGGGCTCAGGCCGCGAGGATACCTGAACCGCATGCAATGAGCCGTCCCTAAAACACCACAATTTCTTCATAAATCCATTCGTCTCTTCGGTTATGTACAGTTTGACCATGAATTTCCGTGGACGAGAAAGCCGAGGCATTCAAATTGGTTCCCGCATTTATGCTTCAAGAATATTCAGTCGAATACTTGCATGATCGGAGCGACTACAAAAAATTCTCAAAGTTCGACGCTCAATGTTTAGCCGATTCAGTGCCGTCATTCACCCATGATCATTTCTTCGCACTAAGCAAGGGTGGACCTAAATCGAAGGCCACGGAAAACCGCATTCGGAAAATATGCCGAAATCAATTTTGGAAAATCGCAAGGTGCATGGTGAGGTTAAGCAAGTTCAAAAAATGATCTTGCAATGGCGATTAAAAATCGACAGAATTAAGATACCGTGAGCAATATGCCCCAAAGAATAGGCGATAAACTTTTCGGCGCATCAGCTAGATTTCATTCAACAAATATTGACCTTTTTGCTGACTACAAGAACATATATCAGAAATACGTGGACAAACTCAGATTGTTATTATTGATTGACATGCATGGTCTGCTTTTTCGCATCTTTGAATGCAATTTTTGAAAATCCCATTTATCCAGGACCATCGAGACAAAAACACTGCCATTCACAGGGATGCAGTAATCCGAATTCTACTGAGCGTCACTGTGGGTTACACGATCCGTCATTCCGCGCGGAAGTGCGAGTTGCTTGATGAACAATGTCACTTAATTAAGATCATATTCACAGTGTTGATTCCACTTCCCCTTCAATGACATCGCCGCCGACGGAGAATTGGCATCACCAACGCACGGGAGCCGAACGGACCGAACTATAATTACTATAATTAGAAAAAAGCAAGTTATTTTCCTTGGAACTTGATGCAATATCTTGGGTTTTTGTTGCAAACAAATTATCTTGATTTCGGTTACAGTACGCTGTATTTAGGTAAACAAAGTCAGCCAGGTTTTAAAAGTTCAACACAAAAGGTGCGCAAAATTATTTAAGATTTGAACATCTTCTGGTATCAATAATGAATGCCATGGAACCTCCGTCATCCGGTCTAATTGGGTGCCATCGTCATACTTAAAAATTCGGAAACACAGTCGAGGATAATGAAAAATGCAATAAGCAGAAGATGATCAAATATTCAACAATTGCTTACTTTAATAATATAATTCTAATGGAATATTGCTGGAATCTCTCTTCAATTTGCATACAGTGGTATTCTCCGTATAACGGATTTTTTCCGTCTACGAAGACGTTTTTCATCAATGCAAAAGGGCTTCCTTTAAAATACTGCACATTATATTCGGTGTGTCATAAATTATTTGTTACCCCATGATGATCTCTCAAACGCTGACACATCAATAAAATATTTAATAGACAAACTTGTGAAACGATGAAAATTTCACTATAGAACTTAATCTTCATATACAGTAATTTTCAAGTGATATCACGCCCACGGTTAATTGAATGCAAGGATCACATGCGTCCTAATATTCGTCGAAGGCACTGAAACGCATAAATAGTGCGAAGAAAACTTTCCAGAACATTTCACATAGAAATGGTTCGAATAGTTATAGATTTTTCGGACACGAATCGACGTCCTCGCACGCAAGACCACCGATTCACGAAATCACCTGAATGAAAACAAAAGTGGTGCATACGTCCGTACCATCAATTTGACAATAGGACACCACTCCGGAAAAACCGATGACCTTCGCGTCACACAGGTGGAGATTTCTGTTTAATTTCCCTGCTCCATTTTTCTTCTCGTTCTATTCCGGTGAGAGAGAGAGGGAAAAAAAAGGTTAAGCTGCCTGGCACCAGCCACCCGTCGTTGAACAAAAGCACGAAGGAATTGCTGCGAAACAGCCGACGAGCGAAAGCCCTTCACGCGACAACACTCTCGATGATACTGCACACCGGTTGCTCCCGCAGCGAGCTTGATCCCAGGGCCGTGCTGGCGGATCGAAAAACACCACCACGGCACCACGGGCACCACCACCACCGCCACCACCGGCGGGAACAGCGAACAGCCCACCCGCCGCAACACTCCCTCGCTGCTCATTCCGGCTTGAACTTGAACTTGAGGCCGCGTCGAGTTCACGGCGTGGAAGCGGAGCAGAAATGTGAGGAGAAAGAGCGGGAGAAAAGGGACGCCCGCGCGTGGTTTCCTTCCCCTCGGCCGCCTTTTTTTTTTTCCTCTTTCACCTTTTTCGCTTTTTAATGTCAGGTAAGACGCCGATGATTACGCGGCCGAATGGGCGGCTATTGTAAACAGCCAACAAAAAACACACGAATCGCTAAAAATCATTCCACAGGTTCTCCATTCATTTTGAAACTAACCCGCGAAATGTGGCGTGAGGAAAGTTGCATTGAATAGAATCATAAACCTTACAGTTTTCCGCGCGCTTTTGTCTTTTTCGTTTTAAATTTCTGTTTCGAGGAAGATGCCGATATAGACATGCGCCCGCATAAGCGGCTATTGAAAAACATATATTAGAATACTTCACTGTAATACATGAGTACAACATGGATCGCTCAGGTTCGTCGTAAACGAATTTTTATAAAGCATCAACGAGCTCAATGAAACGTCTTAATTGACATGCATCTGCGCAATTGGTATCCGTAACTTGTACGGTATTACATCCTAGGGGGGAGGGGAGGGGGTTATTGAATATTTCTGTAAAATTTTGAAACTTACCTTTTGAAGTAAGGTATTGAATTAAACCGCGGTAGGATTCTTTCCATTTGCCTCGAAAGGATGTCCGCTTCCGGAAATTTGACATAAACTCCAAGGTAGACTCTACAAGGATACTTAGATGAACGCTGTGATCCGTCATTCAAAAAATAACGTGGATCTGATTTTGCAGTCATTGGAAGTTTACAAACAGAAAAATACTTTCGCGGGGACAATATCGCCATGAAGTGTCGACAAAGATGTTTAATGCAGATTTCAAAATTCTAGTTTTAATCAGCGGAAGAAAGTCGTGAGATATTTCCCAGTCAATAAAATTGAATTAAAGAAGGATCAAGCCCTTATACTCGTCACGGCAGTCGCATGCTCATTTTCGCAGCATCAAATAAATTAATTAACCAGCAACGTCGCATCACTTTTTCGGAACAAGAACTTTTCAGAAGAATTGGCAAGATATTTCCGGCAATTGGCTCTCGTGATCCATTCCAAGCTGAATCGCGGGAAACATGCGGTGAAAGGGACGAGTCCGAACAGCTGTCAAATTTTAATGCCGCCACACCAGAGAAAAGGTGAAACACAGTCGAGCTCAATGCTACGGGAAAAAGCGCCTGTCAGTCGGGGGGGGGGGGGAGCAGAGCCCGAGGGCAGCCCTAGAAAAGAAACGCGAGGAGTCGAGGCCGTTGTCCTTACATGAACAGCCGGAAGAAGATTGCGTTGCGCCTCGCGGGCGGTGAAACTTACTTTTCACTCATTCTGTTTTTTTCTTCTTTCCTGTCATCTATTCATTGTTTGAACCACCGCCTCGGGGATAAACATGCAAGGCGGCGGTTCTCATGCCGACCTGCCCGTCTCCTGCTTTTCGGGGTCCGACGCGAGGTTGGCGATTCGAAAGTTACTGCACTCCCTCCAAGGGCACTGAACTTACAGAGTTTCTCCCTGTTGCTCCTAGAAATTCCCCAGGGCCTTTTTTTTTTTCTCGTTTGGCTAATCCATCAATTCCCTCTGTACCGTATACGGCACGTAAAGGACAGATGAATTGGCTATTTCACAACGGGGCTATCATGAGCAAAAATAATAAATTTCAGGTACTCGGGGTGGGATCTGATATTAAGCCTGCAACCAAATGAGATTCACGAAATTATCTCGCTGTTCTCTGTGACTTGAGCACAGTGTGTTGTTTGCTTTCGCTCAAATTTGCCATTCATATGAGAACGGAAATTCCACGCAAAATCAGGCGATAGAGAGGAATAACGAGGACACAAAAATGGGGACCGCAGGAACGATTTCCTGGCAGGTCGCTTCAAGATCAATCACAAATAGCTTGGAATCCGTGCCTGGATTTTTGTCTGCTTGCAGGTGAACTAAAATTGAAAGCATAATCGAAAAATTGGAAGCCACATAGTTACATGAAAATCACACACGAACTCGGTGTGCTCTGGAGAAAAAAGAACCGTTGGGAAAATCGCTGATTTCATCAAATACAGTAAATAAATAAAATTCCAAGAACTGAAAAGAGAATGAAACATCACAGGAATTAAAATTTTCGACCTCAATGATACCGAAGATACGTGCCAGTTTCAATAAGTTAGGAGAACTTCAAGCCAAAATCGCATAATGTACATTTTTGCTCAAATGCTCTGGGTTACGGGAAAAGAATTTTCAAAATTATCATTAGAAAACAGATCAGGCTAGGATAGGGTCGTAGGTGAGGGCACGTGTCATTTATAAAAAAAAACTTGAATATATTCGCCAGATTGCTTCCATTAACCGGATTTACCAGTTATACTGTGACGAGAGCTGGGTTGAAGTGCTGCAGAAAAATGCTCAATGGTAATGTTACATTAGAAGGATCTCAATCCGTGTTCAGTGAAGCCCGAACGACTCATCATTCCCATTAGAGGCTTCAAGAGACACAAGAAAGAAAATTAGTATACAGGATATTAAATAAAAAGTGAGCCTCACTAATAATAGAAAAGTAGCGCAATGTTGCAATTCAGGCTAAGCATAAAAAAATGAAAAGTTCTGAATATCTGAATATCCATAGGATGTACGCATCGGGCTAATTACAGAGCTTTCCATTTTTTAAATCCTTTTTTTAAATCCAATTTTTGATTTAAAGCCTTCAACTTGAAAAAATTCCCGTAAATCCGGACGGTGTGCCACGCGGCCAAGTACCGTCTTTATAATTTATTCTCTGGCTTCATAATATACTGTAACTTTATTCATAGTCATAATACAGCGTTAACTTTAGCTACAGGACACTGTAGTTCACTTGTGATCATGCTTTACGCTTGCTGTTCAAATAATTAATTCACCCACTAGATGCATCTAAAGTCAGCTATGGACATAAAAATCAAGGTTTACAACTTTGAATCTTCATTAGTTTTGTTGACAATCCCTACCATATGGAAACAGGCAGCGATCTTACACACACGGTCAGTGAAAAGCTTGAGAGTCCCCAGGATGTCTATTGATTGTGGAAGGAGTTTCTCGAGTCGTATAAGTTTAGGAACTAAGGGACTGAGGGATTAACGCTGAAATGGCGAAACAAACGATACAGTATTTCCAACCAAGCAGCATGAACCATAGT